TCTTTAATTTCTTTCAGAGTGTCTGGTAGTTTTCAGAGTATAGGTCTTTCACCTCTTTGGTTAGGTTTATTCCTAGGTATTCTTTTTGATGCAGTTGCAAATGGAGTTATTTTCCTGATTTCTCCTCCTGCTAGTTCATTGTTAGTATATAGGAATGCAACAGATTTCTGTGTACTAATTTTGTATCCTGAAATTTTGCTGAATTCAGTTATCTAGTAGTTTTTTTGTGTAGTCTTCAGAGTTTAGTATGTGCAATATCATATCATCTGCAAACAGTGACAGGTTAACTTCTTCCTTACCAATCTGGATGCCATTTATTTCTTTGTGTTGTGTGATTGCCTTGGCTAGGACCCCCAGTACTATGTTGAATAAAATTGGGGTGAGTGGGTATCCTTGTCTTGTTCCCAATCTTAGAGGAAAAGTTTTCAGCTTTTTGCTTTTAAGTATGATGTTGGCTGTGGTTTTGTTTATATGGCCTTTATCATGTTGAGGTACTTGCCCTCTATTCCCATTTTGTTGAGTTTTTATCATGAATGGATGTTGAATTTTGTCAAATGCTTTTTCAGCATCTATGGAGGTGATCATGTGAATTTTGTCCTTTTTGTTGATGTGATGTATGATACTGATTGATTTTCAAATATTGTACCATCCTTGCATCCCTAGAATAGATCTTACTTGATCATGATGGATGATCTTCTTGATGTGTTTTTTAATTCGGTTTGCTAATATTTTGTTGAGTATTTTTGCATCTATGTTCATCAGGGATATTGGTCTGTAATTGTCTTTTTTTTTTGGTGTCTTTGTCTTGTTTTTTGATATTAGAGTGATGCTGGCCTCATAAAATGAGTTTGGAAGTATTCCCTCCTCTTCTACTTTTTGGAAAACGTTAAGGAATATGGGTATTAGCACTTCTTTAAATGCTTGCAGCTGTGAAGCCATCTGGTCCAGGGATTTTGTTCTTAGGTAATTTTTTGACTACCAATTCAATTTTGCTGCCGGTAATTGGTCTATTCAGATTCTCTGTTTCTTCCTGTGTCAGCCTTTGAAGGTTGTATTTTTCTAAAAGTTGTCCATTTCTTGTAGGTTATCCAATTTGTTGGCATTTAGTTTTTATAGTATTCTCTAATAATTCTTTGTATTTCTGTCGTGTCTGTGCTGCTTTTTCCTTTTTCATTTCTGTATTTGTTTTATGTGTGTACACTCCCTTTTTTTCTTGTTAAGTCTGGCCAGGGGTTTATCTAATTTGTTTATTTTCTCAAAGAACCAGCTCCTGGTTTCATTGATTCTTTCTATTTTTTTATTCTTCCCAATTTTATTTATTTCTGCTCTGATCTCTATATGTCCCTCCTTCTGCTGCTTTGGTCCTCATTTGTTCTTCTTTTTCTAGTTTCATTAATTGTGAATTTAGAGTGTTAATTTGGGATTGTTCTTCTTTCTTGAGGGAAGCCTGTGTTGCTATAAATCTTTCCTCTTATAACTGCTTCACAGTATCCCACAGGTTTTGGGCTATTTTCATTTGTCTCCGTATATTGCTTGATCTCAGTTTTTATTTGATCATTGATCCATTGATGATTTAGGAGCATATTGTTAAGCCTCCATATGTTTGCTTGTTTTCTTTGTATAATTTATTTCTAGTTTGATACCTTTGTTGTTTGAGAAGCTGGTTGGCACAGTTTCAGTGTTTTTGAATTTGCTGAAGCTCTTTTTGTGTCCTATTCTGGATCTAAACTTTCCATGTGCACTTGAGAAGAAAGTGTATCTTGGTGCTCTTGAGTGGAGTTTTGTGTAGATGTCTGTTAGGTCTGTCTGTTCTAATGCGTTATTCAATTTAGTGCCTCTGTCTCCTTATTTATTTTGTGTCTGGTTGGTCTGGCCTTTGAAATTAGTGGTGTGTTGAAGTCTCCTAAAATGAATGCATTCCATTTTATTTCCCCCTTTAATTCTTTTAGTATTTGTTTCACATATTTAGGTGCTCCTGTGTTGGGTACATAGATATTTATAATAGTTATATCCTCTTGTTGGACTGATCCCTTTATCATTATGTAATGTCCTTCTTTGTCTTTTGTCACTTTCCTTGTTTTGAAATCCATTTTGTCTTATATAAGTACTGCTTCTCCTGCATTTTTCTCCGTATTATTTTTATGAAATATCTTTTTCCATCCCTTTACTGTTAGTCTGTGTATGTCTTTTGGGTTTGAAGTGATTCTCTTATAGGGAGCATATAGATAGGTCTGGGTTTTTTTAATACATTGTGCAACTCTGTCTTTTGATTGGTGTATTTAGTCCATTCATATTTAGGGTGATTATCAGTGTATATGTACTTGCTGTAGGCTTCATATTTGTGGTTACCAAAGGTTCAGGGATAGCTTCCTTACTATCTTAACAGTCCATCTTAAATCATTTATTACTCTATTTCAAACACAATCTAAAAGTTCCTTTTTTTCCTCTCTTTCTTCCTCTTCCTCCCTTCTTTATATATTAGGTATCATATTCTATGTGTTTATTTTCTCTGGTGACAGCTATTTAGCCCTAGGAGCATATTCATCAAAATTTCTTGTAGAGCTAGTTTGGTGTTGGTGAATTCCGTCAACTTTGCTTATCTGAAAGTTGTTTAATCTGTGCTTCAAATTTAAATGATAATCTTGCCAGATAGAGTATTCTTGGTTGGAGGCCCTTCTGTTTCATTACATTAAATATGTCATGCCACTCCCTACTGGCCTGTAAGGTTTCTGCCAAGAAGTCTGCTGATAGCCTGATGGGGTTTCCTTTATAAGTGACCTTTTTCTCTCTCTGGCTGCTTTCAGTAGTCTCTCCTTGTCCCTAATCTTTGCCATTTTAATCATTTATGTCTTGGTGTTGTCTTTCTAGGGTCCCTTGGGTTGGGAGATCTTTGCACTTCCATGACCTGAGTGACTATTTCCTTCTCCAGTTTGGGGGAGTTTTTAATATTTCCTCCAAGAGACTTTATATCCCTTTTTCTCTCTCTCCTTCTTCTGGTACACATATATTGCAAATATTGTACCATTTGAATTTGTTGCTCAGCTAAAATAGTTATTACTATTTTAATCCTAGAGATCCTTTTTTCTCTCTGTGACTCAGCTTCTTTGTTTTCCTGTGTTCTAATTTCAATTTTATTTACTGTGTCCTCTACCTTATCTAATCTATTTTTAAATCCCTCTATTGTATATTTCATTTCAGATACTGCATTTTCCGAAGTTTCTGTCTCTCTGTTGACATCCTCCCTGAGGTCTTGAATATTTTTCTGTAGCTCTGTGAGAATGTTTATGACTTCTGTTTTGAAATCTTTATCAAGAAGATTGGTGATTTCAGTTTCTGTAAACCCTCTTCCTGGCGTTTTTTTCTTGTAATTTTGGTTTGACCAAATTCCTTTGCCATTTCTTTTTTTTTAGTGTTTCCTATGGAATCATAACTTTGTGTAGGTGGTGCTGTCTAGTGCTCAGAAGCTCTACTCTCTGGACCTGCTGTGTCCCTGCAGCAACAGCAAGGGTCACAGGTGAGCAGTTACTGGCACCTGCCTGGAGGAAGGAGCATCAGGCTGCATATGGCAGTGGGGAGCCTCAGAGCTGCCTAGCTAGCCAGGAGGATGGAGTATCTGAAACTCCCAAGAATTCCCAACCTGCTGGGCTGAGCTTGCAGGGATGGTTTTGACTTCCTGCCCTTTCTCTTGAGCAGTGAGCTCTGTGTTATGTTTGCCCCTTTATCTCCCCTTTTTTGCTGGGAACTCCTTCAAACTGCCCTCCTTTCTTTTGTTCCAGGGGTCCAGTTGTGTGTACCTGTTCTCCACAAGTGGCTGGAATCTCAGTGTCTCCGAGTATTCTGCCCATCTTTACTTTGGAACCCTACTAATCTCCAGAGCACATTGCAATGTGGTTTCATGCTCCAGTAGTAGTTCTCTAGAGCTGGGTGTTCAGCAGTCCTCGGTTTCTACTCCCTCCCTATTTTATTTGTCTTCTTCCTGTCTATGGGCTGGGGTGGGGGTAGGGCTTGGATCATGTCATATCACGGCTTTGCTATTTTATCCTTTTCTGTGAGGTCTTTTTCTCAAGATGTAGGCAGTGTGTTTTGCAGTTTTCATGTCACTTTTTCAGGATTAGTTATATTTGTTGTATTTTCGTGTTTTGCGTGGTATTGGGAGGTTTCAGCCTCTCTTCTCATGCTGCCATCTTTTCTCACTGTCCCTTTTTCATGTGTCTTAATTTTACATGTTAACTGCAGTTCCTTAGTGAATCCCTGGGTTTCATGGCTTTAAAGACTTTTCTTAATGTTATTCAGATTGGGAGGACTTCTTGTAGCACAGAAGATAGGCTCTTCAGTGGTAAGAGTACAGATTCTGGGAACTGTGCTTGAGTCTTGATTCTGCCACTTAACTGCTATAATCCCTGGCAAGACATACACCCTCATATAATATAGGAATAATACCTGCCTAATAATATTCTGAAAATTAGGTGGACTAATATGTAAAAATTCCTTATAATATTTCTGGCATGCAGTAAGCACTAGATATAAGTGTTACCTATTAGTGTTGTTACTTTTTGTTCTTGTATCTTTTGGAATGAACATTAGGCTATACTGAGGGTTTGGAAAGTGGTGTCTCTGCTGCCAACCTTAGTATACTTTTAAGTAGCCTGGGCTGGATGATACAGGAAATGATCTCAGTATCCTCCATTAGTTATTTGTTTCTGTGACATTCACCATGGAAAAGTTATTTCCTTAATATTCCCTAATATTTAAGTAGGGACATTTCTACATTTGAGTTCTTTCTGTGTGCTTTTCTGTGTTAATGTCATAATGTCCTCTGCTGGATCAATAGTTCCATAGCCTGTTAAGAGTTCACAGTAGTTTAAATGAAATAGGTAAGTAATGTTCCACCAATAAAAAATATTTAAGAAATTTCACTTCCTGTGTTGAAGAGATTTCTTGAAGTCTTAAAAATTGTTTCTAGCAAAAGTTAACCAAAAGGGTGTTTTGTTTTGTTTTAGAATTCCTGCAGTAAAAGAATAAGGAGTGCATCACTGAAGGATTTATGTCTTGAAGACAAAAAACGCATTGCAAATTTAATTAAAGAACTGGCCAGGTGAGACAAAATCTTAAATGAAATGCATTATTATATAAGAGAGACAGCTGTTTTTGAAAATAGAAAATTCCAAATATGTTTTGATGTCATTGTGTCATTGATCATATGGGTGCCAAAAAAAAAAAAAATCTGTGGCTCATTAAAGAAAAGTAGACCAAAAAGAAAGAAGACCAGAACAAACCATTCTCCAACTTCCACATTTTCTTGTTTATCTAATACCTCCAATTGTTTGGTACAAATATCTGCAGCAGTCATCTATCAGGAAGGAAAATGTTGAAGCTTAGCTTTACTGTTGATGTAGGTTAATACTGTAATCAGAGGCATAACAGTTACCTTTGGTTTTGCAGTAGCGTCTGAACTCTGTTTTTTTGTAGTCTATTTTAAGAAAATTTGTTTGTCATTTTGCTAATTCCTGATTCTTTCAGGATTCAAGATAAGGGATTTTGAATTTTGAGAATGATCATTCTTAGCTGTTCAGGAGTACTATTCCAAATTATTAATGATGTCTATGAAGCACATCTACTTTGTATAATTTTTTTGTCAATATACATGTCCATTTTTGGGGTCTTAAAAATACTAAATAAATGAAGTCTATAGAGGAATATATTAATAAAGTGTAAAAGTTAAATTTAAGATAAGGCCATATCTAAAAATTGATTAAATAGTACTAGATTTTGTCATCGAATTGCATGCTTGGAAATAATAGATTGTCTTCTTTTTTCTTTATTTCTAATTAAAGGTAACTATGAAGTGTTTAAAAATGTTTTTCATGTTTAGGCCTTAAAATAATGTTTAGAAGCTTTTTTAAGAAGACTGGAGTTAAAAAATTACCTTACTAAATTAGAATCACAGATATAAAACATGACATAAAGCAGTGATGCTTTGGAGGTACAGGGTATGAGAATTCAAAGTACTAGTCTTAGTCTGAATTTGATAGCCATCTGACATAGCAGTAACCACTTCATTAGAATTTGTTGTTCTAGTCCCTGAAGTAGTTTTCATTAACTTCAAATAGTGTTTTTTTGTACTGGGAAACCATTTGTTACTCTCACTCTTTGCAGATGATCTTCTCACAGGGCTTTTTACTTTATAAATGGCTGTGGATGTCCTTACCACATATACTTAATGGCACTGAAAAGTTATAACCATTAGTCTGACTCCATATCTTAATGGCCCTCAGTTCCTGTTAATGTCTTGATTGACCCATTTTTTTCAGCTGCTAGGCTTGGAGACTACCTGGAATAGTAGAGCATATTGTTTTGGTTTCAACAATCTGCTTTCTAGCAAAATGATATTTTCTTGGTAGAGGGTCAGTGTATTAGTACAAGGTTAGTATTAGAACAGATTTACTTACACAGCTTAAGAAACCATTATTACTATATTTAGTATTAACATAGAGGCATATGGGAATAAAGTGTTCTTGGTTTCGTGAATTTGCTAAGTCTCCTGTTAGATATTTCTGTTTACTTTTTTCTATTCATACTTGCCAAACCATTTTCTTTAATCTTTTTTTTAAGACTCATTCTCATTGAAGTGGGGAAGTAAAGAACAGAATTCCATATGCCTTAAACACTGGCAACAAAACATTCCTAGCATTTATGTTCTATTACCTCTGAATTTTCAACATGATTTCAAATAACTGGTTTGCCATTGGCATTAAATACAGTAATTTCTTGTTCATCTTCAGAAATAATATACTCTTTCAACCTGAAATTTCCCTCTAGCTACTACCTTCTTTGTACTCCACAACATTAACTTTATTCCTAGAAAGAAGAGTCTGTAATATTATTTTCTACTCTGTTGCATTTTATTCCCTCCTTAAGCTTACTTATTTTCAAAATATATATCAAAGTGCAATTTACGTTCAATAATACGTACCCTTTTAAGTGTATATTTCAATGAATTTTGACAAATGTAAGGTCACTCCAAAAAGTTAATAGTGTGAGACATTTTACAGTCACTTTCTCTATCCTCCAACTCAGATAGCCATTAATGTGATTTCTATCATTATAGTCCTGTTTTACGTGTTCTGACATACCACATAAAGGCCATACAGTATGTACTCTTTTCTGTCTGCCTTTTTTCCCCTGAGCACAATGATTTTTTGTGTTTGGTAATAAAATAAAGTTTACCATCTTAATCATTTTCAAGTGTACAGTTCAGTGATATTAAGTACATTCATACTGCTGTGCAGCCTTTGCCACCACCCATTCCCAGAACTTTTCATCATCGAAACCCTCTACCCATTAAATAATTCCTCAATACCCCCTTCACCCCACTCCAAACACCACTACCAAGTCCCTGGTAACCACTATCCTATGTGTCTCTCTGAATTTGACTATTCTCAATACCTGATATGAGTGGAATCATACAATATTTGTTTTTTTCTGGTTTATTTGGAGTTTTTTCCAGTTCATTGTGTGTAGGAATAGTTCATTTTTTATTGTTCACCTAAGAAATCTTGTTTACTCTAAGGTAGCAAATTTCTTTTCCTATGTTGGAAAATACTATTTTTTTGAGTAATTACCTTAGCTTCTTTGTCAAAAATAAATTGACCTTATATGCATGGTTTATTTCTGGGTTCTTTACTCCATTTCATTGATCTTTATGTTGCCCTTATGCCAATGCCACCTGGACTTGATTAATTTTATAGTGAGTCTTGAAATCATATAAATCCTACAGGTTTGCTCTTTTTGAAAATTGTTTTGTCTCTTTGAAGTCCTTTCCCTTTTACTACAAAATTTTGAATCAGTTTGTCAATTTCTAAAATAAATTTGCCTCCTGGATTTTGTTTAGGGTATACTGAATTTAAAACTCAAATTGAGAAAAATTGATATCTTTACATTATTGGCCTTCCAATCTATGACTATGACTATGTCAAATCTCTCCATTATTTATATATTTTAAGCTTTCTCTGCAGTGATTTGTAGTTTTCAGGGCATAAAATATGAACATAGTTTGTCATATTCATCCTTGAGTATTTTATGTATTTTGATACTGCTGTAAATGGTATAATTTAAAAGTTTTATAGACTTAATTTGTAAATTTTACTTCATTTCTTAAGAATAAACTTCTGTTTTTTAAAGTTGACTTGGTATCCTTCATCCTTTTTAAATTCAGTTGTTATGGTAGTTGTGAGAATACTTTCGATTTTCTCTATGCACTATCATGTCCTCTACAAATTAAAAAGTTTTTATATATTCCTTTCCAATCTGTAGGTACTTTGTTTCTCTTGTCCTGTTTCATTGGCTAGTATCTGCTATACAGTGTTGAATGATAGTGGTTAGAGAGTATACATTTGCCTTGTTGCTCTCAATCTTAAGTCCTTCACTAGTAAGTACAGTATAAGTTACAGGTTTTTTGTAGATGTTTTTAATTAGGTTGAGGAAATTTATTTTTGATCCTAATTTGCTGAGTCTTTTTTTCAATCATTAATAGAATTTTGTCAACTGATTTTTCATTATCTATGATGATGATGATAATATGATTTTTTTCTGTTAATGTGATAAATGACATTGATTGATTTTTAAATGTTTAGTTTACCTTGCATTCTTGGCCTAAACCCCATGTGGTCATAGGGATTTTTAAAAAAATAACGTGTATTATGGATTTGTTTTTATTATAAAAATAGCACAGAAACTAGAGATAAGCCAGAAGAAGAGAGCCTATCCCCCAAGGAGCCCATTATTAATATTCTGGTAATACATCTATGAATAGAGCACCAAGCTTAGCCACCCATGGGAAGGAGCTCTCAGAGTGGACTCTTGTAGGTGCCTCCCTAGTTGGGCTGAAACAGGGCCTTGAAAGCTGGGGGAGTCTCCCTGTGCTTGCCAGGCAGCAAAGTCTGAGCTGCTGTGCTAGTGGGCTGGTGTGTGGGTGGCTCACAGGGAAATGCCTCGGCTGAGCTGCCAGCGAAAGGTGTGAGTACGTGAGGCTCCTGAGAGTGCTTGACCTGCCAGACTTTGGGGGTGCTGGGGAGGTATCATCCACCTGCCCTTAATCCTGCAGAGATAGCTCCATCCAGCCCTTGCCCTTCTGGCTTCCCTCCCACTGCTGGCAAGTCTTTAAAATATCTGCCACTGTATTGGGTCTTGGCGGGACCAGCAGAGCATGCCTGTCTTCCAAAGGCAGCTGGGGTCACAGCCTACCAGATTTCTCCACCTGTCCCTGCCTTGTGTCCAGTTTGCTAATTACCAGAACCGAATAAAATGTGGGCTTGTGTTCCCAGAGCAGATCTTCAGCCTGGTATGCAGAGTTCCTGGGCACCTATCCCCTCCCTGCTCCATTTATCTTTTTCACCTGGGCTGGGATGGCGGAAGGGCTTGGTTCCTGCTTGTTCAGCTCTGCCACTTTACCCTTTTCTTTGTGGTCTTTTTTCCCCAAGTGTAGGTGGTGTGTTCTGCAGTCTTCTGTTTGTTTTCAGATTTCCTTGTATAAGTACTGTAGTTGCTTCTCTTGTGTATATGGAGAGGAGGTTTCCATCTTGCCTTCCTACTCCACCATCTTGAGGTTCTTGTTCCCTAACATAAGTTTTAGTGTTGTTATTTAGTTTATTTATTTTTAATTATTTTTTGAAGACATTTTTTCCCCTCTGCTCTTGTTAGAAGACACACTTCTTGATAGGATTGAGTTTGAATACTTTTCAGAGTTAAAAATTAAATATGTAGGGGTTTTTTCAGTCTTTGGTCAGTGTTTTTAACTGTATATCTTCTTTAGATTAAGAATAAAAAGAATAAAATGAGTATAGACCTTTTAATGTTATTGCCATCTTTTTTATTCCAATCCTGGTACTTATATGCTAATGAGGGGGTAGTATATAGTATCAGTGCCAAGAAAAAGTAATATTGCTTAGGTATGTTTAGTGAAATATTGAAGTATGAAAATGATCTAAATCAAAATGAGTTTATTGTGTCTGTTACCAAATGAAGAAATGAAATGTGTGTTTTAAGAACTGGATATTTTCCTGTCCTGGGTTATAATTGGGAACCTATATTCTGTGTAGGACTTCACATACTTAAGATGATGATTGGAAACCCTTATTGTAAAAATCATATTCATACTTTATTTAAATGGTGGGACAGATTGCCTTATGAAAGGTTAATTAAAAAAACTGAAACATGGAGTTACTTGAAAAAGCCTACTTCTGGAAGAAATCTACTTTTGCTAAACCATGGCTTTAGGCACATAATTTATTATAGTTATTTTGTTTTCATTGCTGTATTTCTTTCAGAGTAAGTGAGGAAAAGGAAGTGACAGAAGAGCGACTCAAAGCTGAGCAGGAATCATTTGAGAAGAAAATAAGGCAGTTGGAAGAACAGAATGAACTAATCATCAAAGAAAGGGAAAATATCCTTTTTGAAAGTCCTCTTTTTTTAATGTGCAGGAAGTTTGACTCTCATGATGAAAATGTAAATTCCAGAGAAATTCTAATTTATAATGTAATAAATCGGCATGGGTTGCCATTTCTAGGCAATCAGAATGACACTTAACAGCATGTGCTTCCACTTTCCTTATGCTTAATATGGCTGTCCAGCTGTTCTGCTGCTGTTAGTATACTGTAGAGCATGTATTTGTCCCTACAAGAGACAGTAAGAAATTTGGGCATTAAAATGTAGTGTTGGAACTTTATTAAATTCTATCCCCCTACTTTTGAAACCTCTTTGTATTTGTTGTTCATTCTACCTAAAGCTTTGACAATCCTAAGGAATTCTATTCTGAAACCATAGAAAAAAGGAGAAATCCACTGTAATTTGTGTATATTATAACTGATAAGTGTTTACACTGTATCCTAATTCTACCAAAGTATTTTCACGGAGGAGAAAACTGCATTTAGAACTAGAGAGAGGTAAGGGTGTGTGTGTGTGTTAATACATGTTGCACTTTTTATAAGAAAGTAAAATAAAAACAGGTGTTTTAACTGAAGAATTATACTTTAAGTGGAGATATGAGTTGAAATAAGCATATTTCTGAAGTTCGGTAGAATTACTTATCTTTGGGTGTTTTTGCAGTGTTGTTCATACAAAAGAGCAGGTAATGCTTGAAGGAACTATTGTTCTTATTGTCGATATCATCATTAACTTGATTGTCAGTAATTACTTCAAAGGTGAATCTTCCAAGTGTCAAAAAATGGTCATTGTATTGATAGCAGCTATACCTTTGTGAATAACAGCAAAATAAAAGCAAAAAATAAATTAATCTGCTTAAAAAGAGGCACAGAAAATATAACCATAAAAAATTGGGTTCTGAACTTCTACTTTTTAAGCAGTGAGAGTACATGATTGGAAATTAATATAATCAGAATGCTTAGATTTGATTTGCTGAGTAGAACTTTTCACAAGCGTATTGGCTCCACAATTCTAAAGTAGTACTTTTTAATTTTCTTTTTTTCTATACTTCTTTAGCATTTGAATAATCATGTTGGGTTTTCTCTTTTCTTTGCGCTCATTGACTTTTTGGCACTAGGTTGTCAATTCTGACGTTGGACACTCTTTTATGACTTTCTTCCTATTTTTTTCTGTAGGATAAAGTAGTTCTGTTTCATTGGAATTCACAACAAACTGCTTAGCCAGTTTTGGTCTTTCACTTACTGTAAGGGGTAGTGTGATTCAGGATCCTCTCATTTTCAGAAAAAGGAAAATTAGGAATAATTTTATTTGTAACATAAATTTGCTTTACAACGTCTGTTTTTTTCACACATAACTCTGGAGATAAGGGCCCGCTGCCATTGGTTCAGTGGCTGTTGAAGGTATCATGTTTACATTAAGGCAGGAAGAAATGGGGAGAAAGAGAATCTGGCCAGTGTGACTCCCTCTCCTTTCTTTAAAATGAAATTTTATGAGCATAAAATCTTTCTCAGGGTGCCTCACCACTCACCCACTAGCAGTCTTTCATGAGGTATATATTTTCCTTAACTTCATTGCATGGCTATGTTAAGCTGCAAGAGAAGATGAGAAAATAAGCATTTTAGCTCATCCAGATTACAAGTGGAATGGAGCAAGGAGAAAGGGAATTAAGAATGAAGTCAGCCTCTAACTCTGGTTGCAGAAGCAAGGGAAATAGAAGTTACTTTTTATTTAGGGAGTTGTTGATGGTAACTTGACTTTCCTGGGACAAAAAAAAATAAGTATTATTCCAGTGGAATAGGAATGAGTTGGAGAAACAAGATGAGAGAGGGAGTTAGCAGATCGTTTTGAGTCCTGTCCACAGTAAGAGAAGGGCCTTGTTTATTTGGTGATATCCTGAACACAAATGTGTGGCTATCTTAAAAAGTAGAATCTAATTGTGGTGAACTATTCTATTTAGCATCTGGGTCAACATGAATTGTATTTAGTGCTGAAGCAGTCTAAACTTAGCATGGCTATGAATGGTTTCTTTTGTCAGGCTAAATATTAAGATACCCTAGGTGATTGCAGTGACAGAATTTTTCCCATTTTCCTCATGACTTAGCTCAGGGGTCCACAAGCTACTGCCTGGAGCCAAATATAGTAAGGTGCCAGTTAAATCCAGGCACACCCAGTCATTTAAGTACTATCTATGGCTGCTTTTGCACTATAGCTGCGAGTTGAGTTGAGTTGTAACAAAGACCTTGTGGCCAGAACAGCCTAAAATATTGCTATCTGGCCCCCTACAGAAAAGTTTGCTGATCTATCCAGTAAGCTAGAAAGGAAAGGAAGATGCATGTAAGTAAAGTCAAAGACTTAGATATATGTCATTATTAGACCTGTTTTATATATGGTATGAAAAAATTTGACCTGAGCATTTATTATTATGATTGAAGATCAGAGTAAATGTAAGGCCTTTAACAAATATTGAAATAGCTTAGTTATATAATTGGCTTAAGATTATTTATTTATTTATTTTTATTTTGCTATAATTAATGTACAATTACCTGAACAACATTATGGTTACTACCCCCTATTATCAAGTCCCCACCACATACCCCATTACAGTCACTGTCCATCAGTATAGTAAGATGCTATAGAATCACTACTTGTCCTCTCTGTGTTATACTGCCTGTCCCATGTACCCCCCCACTACATTATATGTGCTAATTGTAATGCCCCTTTTTCCCCCTTATCCCTCCTTCCCCAGCCATCCTCCCCAGTCCCTTTCCCTTTGGTAACTGTTACTCCATTCTTGGGTTCTGTGAGTCTGCTGCTATTTTGTTCCTTCACTTTTTCTTTGTTCTTATACTCCACAGATGAGTGAAATCATTTGATACTTGTCTTTTTCTGCCTGGCTTATTTGACTGAGCATAATACCCTCTAGCTCCATCCATGTTGTTGCAAATGGTAGGATTTGTTTTTTTCTTTTGGCTGAAAAATATTCCATTGTGTATATATACCACCTTTTCTTTATCCATTCATCTCCTGATGGACACTTAGGTTGCTTCCATTTCTCGGCTATTGTAAATAGTGCTGCGATAAACATAGGGGTGCATATGTCTTTTTCAAACTGGGCTCCTGCATTCTTAGGGTAAATACCTAGGAGTGGAATTCCTGGGTCAAATGGTATTTCTATTTTTAGTTTTTTGAGGAACCTCCATACTGCTTTCCACAATGGTTGAACTAATTTACATTCCCACCAGCAGCAGTGTGGGAGTATTCCCCTTTCTCCACATCCTCGCCAACATTTGTTGTTGTTTGTCTTTTGGATGGTGGGCATGGTAACTGGTGTGAGGTGATATCTCATTGTGGTTTTAATTTGCATTTCTCTGATGATTAGTCATGTGGAGCATATCTTCATGTGCTTGTTGGCCATCTGAATTTCTTCTCTGGAGAAGTTTCTGTTCACATCCTCTGCCCATTTTTTAATTGGCTTATTTTCATTTTGTTTGTTGAGGTGCATGAGATCTTTATATAATTTGGATGTCAACCTGTTATCGGGTATGTTATTTATGAATATATTCTCCCATACTGTAGGATGTCTTTTTGTTCTACTGATGGTGTCCTTTGCTGTACAGAAGTTTTTACTTTGATATAGTCCCACTTGTTCATTTTTGCTTTTGTTTCCCTTGCCCAGGTAGATATGTTCATAAAGAAGCTGCTCATGTTTCTGTCCAAGATATTTTTGCCTATGCCTTTTCCTAAGAGTTTTATGGTCTCATGACTTACATTCAAGTTTTTGATCCATTTTGAGTTTACTTTTGTGTATGGAGTTAGACAACAATCCAGTTTGATTTTCTTACATGTAGCTGTCCAGTTTTGCCAACAACAGTTTTTGAAGAGGCTGTCTTTCCCCATTGTATATCCATGGCTCCTTTATCGTATATTAATTGACCATATATGCTTTGATTTATATCTGGGATCTCTAGTCTGTTCCATTGGTTTATGGATCTGTTCTTGTGCCAGTACCAAATTGTCTTGATTACTGTGGCTTTGTAGTAGAGCTGGAAGTCAGGGAGTGTAATCCCCCCCATTTTGTTTTTCTTTCTCAAGATTGCTTTAGCTATATGGGGTCTTTTGTGGTTCCATATGAACTTTAGAACTATTTGCTCTAGTTCATTGAAGAATGCTGTTGGTATTTTGATAGGGATTGCATTGAATCTGTAGACTGCTTTAAGCAAGATGGCCATTTTGACAGTATTAATTCTTCCTATCCATGAGCACGGGATGTGTTTTCATTTATTGGTTTTTTCTTTAATTTGTTTCATGAGTGTCTTGTAGTTTTCAGAGTATAAGTCTTTCACTTCCTTGGTTAGGTTTATTCCTAGGTAATGATGCCATTGTGAATGCAATTGCTCTCCTGATTTCTCTGTCTGATAGTTCGTCGTTAGTGTATAGGAATGCAGCAGATTTCTGTGTATTACTTTTGAATCCAACAACTCTGCTGAATTCTTATATTAGATCTAGTAGTTTTGGAGTGGATTCTTTAGGGTTTTTTATGTACAATATCATATCATCTGGAAACAGGGACAGTTTGACTTCGTCTTTGCCAATCTAGATGGCTTTTATTTCTTTGTATTGTCTGATTGCCGTGGCTAGGACCTCCGGAACTATGTTGAAAAGAAGTGGGGAGAGTGGACATCCTTGTCTTGTTCCCAACATTAAAGAAAAGCTTTCATCTTCTCGCTGTTAAGTATAATATTGGCTGTGGGTTTGTCATATATGGCCTTTATTATGTTGAGGTACTTGCCCTCTATACCCATTTTGTTGAGAGTTTTTATTATGAATGGATGTTGAATTTTGTCAAATGCTTTTTCAGCATCTATGGAGATAATCACATTTTTTTTGTCCTTTTTGCGATGTAGTGGATGATGTTGATTGGTTTTTGAATGTTGTACCATCCTTGCATCCCTGGTATAAATCCCACTTGATCATCATGGGTGATGTTTTTGATGTATTTTT